CCTTCATTCGCAGCGAAGATGATTATAGCATAGGCGCACTCGCTATTTTACCCACATTAGCCCAGCTGAAAGGCGCCATTCCCACTAATCCTACCAGCAATCACCGTATTCATATGAATTAGTGTATAGAAATCGAAAGTCAAAATTTCAAAAAAGGCATGATCAGGACGTGACAAATTCTACGAATCTTCCTCTAAAAACGACCAGTGCTTTGATCCGGGAAACCCATCAACATGCATTTCTATTAGACCCGTGTTTAATCACATGAAAAAATGCTTACCCTGAATGCTTCACGGATTTCTTCTTCGCTATCGGTATCCTTCATTTTCCTCGCCATCATGGTGAGGAATTCGGGAAAATCGATGGTTCCGTTACCTAAAACAGCCATGATAAAAGAGTTCAGGTGTGAATGCTGAACTCCTCGACCTAAATACAAGCTATTACAGTAACCCACCGTCAGCATCGACTTCGTTGATCATATCTTGCAATTCAGCCTCAGTAGGGTTTTGACCTAGTGACCTCATGACGGTTCCCAATTCCTTCGTGGTAATGGTACCATCACCATCCTTGTCGAACAACGAGAACGCCTCCTTGAACTCTGAAAAATGAAAGATCGATTCCAATGCTTGTTCATCAGAAACTGTTACGCAGTACTCGAAAAAAATGTAGGTGAAGGCGACTTCTTCGATTTTTTTCATTCCACGAAGGGAGTCAAAAATCCTAGTCACAAGCTGGTAAATAGCGCTAAAGTAAAGCGCTCATACTAGTTCTAATCTCCCTATGAAAGAAACTAGGCACATAAGTAAGGTAAATGGAAGACCTATGACAAGTATACCAAAAGTTCTTTCATGGGCAGGAGCAAGCTCCACCACAGCCTCCGCGGCCAAAACGGTGCTACCCGTAGTCACTAACGAGACCAGGAAGCCTAGGGAATTGGCGTCAGACCGAAACAGCAGAGCGATTCCCACAGCTGAATCACTTGCGTGAGGGTTCCTAGGGTTTTGAAACGGTGGGAAGTACCAGCTCTTCAGCCTCAGAAAGTAGACTTGACCTTCTCAGATGCAGATCGAGAACTCTTCAGTGGAACGCGCTTCTTCATTCCCTCCCCTCCCCCCCCAACTTGTGCATACATTTTGATGCCGGTGCCCTCTGAAGGAGATCAACTCTTTGAAACAGAATAACCTTCTACAATAAACAATGGGTTTATGCTTCACACATACAGAGCCTCTTTGAAATAAGCGTATAGCTATAAACATTGTTAGCACTTCCCAACTCTATCACCAATTTCAGGACAATGTGGGACGCTTCCTCGCTAAAAGACACCATTGAAAAAGAAAAATGAGATAACCCGTCACCCCAAAAACCTTTCCAATGGTGTATAAACACCCATACACGGTTGTAACTAGTTCCATACATTAGACACACCCCTCACCATCAGAACACCAGCACACCATCACCACACGACACACACAGCAGCACCACACACAGCAGACAATCAATCACTCACAGGCAGAAAGACACACACGGACGGATAGACAGACAAAGAGACAGACAGACACACACCCACACACAGACTTCTTGAATGATATCAACGTAACGGCTCATGAACACTCCGAATCCCTTCCATTGCTCTTTCCGCTTTGATAGGCCACTAAAGTTACTGATGTTTCAGTTCCTTTGATTTTTCCGCTTCACAGGATAATTGCCCATGCCCTTTCATATGGTAACATCTTTTTCAGACGGCTATTATTTATTTTTACATCCTGGGATACTTTAATTGATGTACTTATTCAATATCATCTCATAAGTGCTCCACATAAAAGCAAACACTTGGCAAACCAAGAACTCCATCAGCACCATCGACGAGCTACAGTACCCAAAATGCGTCAATTGTAAGGCATGGACACATAAGGTAGTTCTCCGCGGACGCTGGCGCGTACCAGAGGGGGGGGGGCAAAGGGGTGAGCTAGGAAGTTTCCCATCAATCGTAGTTCCCTGTCAGTTTCCACAACTGATGGAGAACGGGCGGGCGCCGCGTTAAACCCGGCCCTGGCTCGCCTTCAGCATCCGGAGCGAAAAAGAGCATGTACTCGGCGGCGGGAATCGCTCTTCTGATATGACGGCGGCTCTCCTCCCTACTGAGTACCTGATTAGGATGGATACATATTCCGACCTAAAGGGCAGACGGTCAGCCTTTGCGCAAAGCCGCACCAAAAGGCGGCGTTTTCCGCACATTGTCAACTACAGTAGCTATACCGAATTTCGTGAAATGTGGTCCAAAGGTGTGACGCTCGTCGTCCAACGCGATATTTTCATTGCCATCAACAAGGGGGGGGGGAAGGTTTCCACTTCTTTGGTCGGCAGGCCAGCGCACAGCCCCAAACTTGTCGGACGATAGCCCTCTATACGTTCGATTTTAGATGGTTTGGGATCTTCCTGACGCAGAGATTCCAGATATTGATCACCACATAGACTGTTCCACGTGTGTTCACTTCTGAGTTCAGACTGCCATCAGACGGAACTGCTGATCCGTAATGCATGGATGCTTCTGTACGCTGGCTCGTTTGGGATCGATTGTCAAGTACTTGATCTTCTTGACGTTTAAACCCAGTCCGAACTTGCCAAGCAATCGGCTTAATCTTGCACTAGCTGTTCGAGTATGTTCCTATCTTCACAAGCAAACACTACATCATAATTGTAAGAAAGCGTCCGAGGACCACTGTTCTGGAGATCGCGTGAAATGGCGTTCACGGCGACAAAGAAAATGAGTGAGGAAAGCGCAAAACCCGGGCAACCCGATGACACTAGACATTTAGCAAGGCCGCATCATATAAGAACAGGCATGGGCAAAAAAAAGGAGAAAAAACGGCAATCTCACTGCTCGAGCTGCCATCCAGCATAAAAAATGGGAGAAATTGCTAGGAAAGGGCTTATTTCTAAGACAAGATGTCCTCGCCTTTGAGGTGCCATGACGTGTCATGTCGGTCAATGCTAGACGCGTAGTATTACATGGTCTGAGACGTAACGGATCTATTGCCCAACGATGACGCCGGACGGTTGTGTCCTCAAAGTACTCCGTCAGATAAAAAATACCCATGAAAAAATACCACTCGCGACATAAAAAATTCTCTTTTCAGACCTTTCAAGGTATTACATGATCGAGACACTGCCTTTTCTGAAAACAACGAGTAAGACGAGCGCAGAATGGCGGCGGAGGAGGGAGGTGGTATTTTGCCGCTGGACGGAGAGGGGACCGTATTTTGTCTAGGAAACCTTTCTGATAGTTGATTTTTCCTATTCCACGGGCGCTATTTAGATGTTTAGGTATAGGTATCCAGGGAAAGAACTGGAAAATCTTGAGGAATTTCTGAGAATGAAGTGGATAGGAAAAATTGGATGGGAAGGGAGAGGAGGTCTTATATTCCGAAAATTTTCCCAGCAGTGCCCTGGCCACCATGCTCAATCGTATTTGTGTGGTATTTCATTGCTTCACAAGTTGAAAGTGGTCTGTACAAATTCGGCTAGCATCATTTCGTGACTTCACAAGATTTCACTTATCTTGACTTGATGGCCCGTCACGTTGATGTGAAGAAGCAAAAGTGCAGAATGCTTCCTCCGTCTCCGAACTGCGTCAAGCAGGTCTGCCAAATCGAACGCACAATTTTTGACGTTTGGCTCCAGTTTACAGCGAAATCAAAGCGACCCCGCTTAATCGTTGTTTACAGGAGTTGTAAGTCATTGTGTGACCACTTCTGAATTCAGAGAAATCCAGGGCGGTTACTTTCACGGTTAAGCCATTTTAGCTTGTGGAACTCTGGTTTACGAGCATGTGAGGGTTTGCCTTCAGGATTAGCAATGCACGTGAGGGACAAATCCTATCTCTTTTTCACTTTTTAGGCCCTGGCGAAGGCGAAGACGCCGAAACATAAGCCCAGCAAATATGCATAAATCTTGGACGACCCAAACCCATTACATTCCTAGATTAACTATGCTCAGACCGATGGTCTGGACGTAAGAGCATCGCCTGGCCACTCTTGGTAGAACTGGCCAACAAAAAGCGATTGAGAATGAAAGACAAGCACTTACTGCATGCCATTTTTTCATTCTAGAGGCCAAGGTTGGTGGCTTAATATAGGAAGAAACCCTGTTATTTGATCCCTTCCTATTTGGTCGAAATAACCGTAGGACCTTATCGAGAAGCTATTCACAATAAGGTGATATTTTAGAGTCATATAAAAGAAACTTAACGTATCGAGAAGCTATTCATAATAAGGTGATATTTTAGAACCATGTAAAAGAAACTTAACGTTACCATGGCAACTCCACGCTAAACATACACAATCAGAAGTTATAAGTATATTAACTTTTACGCAATTCACGCAAAAAAGCAGTTAACTACAACAAAACACTACAAATCAAAGAAAAACTTACCAGCAATCTGTTCTTCAGTCAGTTGGTCAGCCATAGTGCTATATAGGTGTGGAGATCAGAAACAAGAAGAACCGATGTTGTGGGTAAGATGGCGAGAAGTCCTTGCTCGACCGCTGAAAATCGTATCGGATTAGCGGAACACAGCCACGAATCGACGGCGATAATCGCAACGGTAAACGTCATCGATCGCATAACTTTGTTCGTCGAAAAATCGAAGTAAAATGTCTAGATTATGAATGGTAGAGAAATAAGGAGAGTTCAGATTCAAGGGAATGGAAAAGGAACAGAAACGAAGCATCTGACCTCGACACAACCGCGAAAAGAAGTAAGACCAACCAACATATTCGTTATCGAATCGATATTCACGCGGGGGAAAATCGCGGCCGAGCGGCGACCAACAGGACAACACGGCCAGCGAGCACACATGAAAACCAGTACAGCGTCTTCAACGATTCGTCTTAACCAAAGTTCATTCCCAAAAGACTGAAGACTTGCTCCTTCAAAAACTTTTCCTAATAGCTTTCCTTTCCTTTCTTCACTTGGTGTGCATTGGACCAATCCAACCACTACCACATTCGCTATTTTTTTGGCAAATACACTGCAAAATCTCATGAAAATGGGTGGAAATACAGTCCTCACTGGTTCTGCTTGACCAGAAAACGAGGACAGATTCACGTCCCTGTACAAGTTCCCAAATTACTACCAACTCACAACATCGGATCAACATCAATGCCCAGGAAAACGGGGGCAAGATGGGAGGAGATTTCACCCATTGGTCCAACCCTGCTTGTTCCTTGGACTCGCCCGGGTGTGCAAGATCAGGCACAAGCGAGGCGGAATCAAGGAAAGAGATCTCCACCCAATTTTTACTATTTTAACCAGGGCCTGTCCGCTCATGCTGCTCCAATGTTTCGAGCAGATCTGAGGCAAAGGTAGTTAGGGGGTGCAAAGCGGAAGCGGTATGGGTGTAATATTTCGTCTCGCCGCATCTTTTGAAAACCGGCTAATGCCGTTTGGACTCCGGAAATTTCGGGCCGAGCTCATTTTCAAATTGCCTAAGCCACCAAATCCACTAAAAACTTGTATATAGGGGTAATTCAACATCCTGATTACGAGTATGACACTCATTCTTGGCGCTGGCGCCAAGAGAGGACACTACGATTACCTCCTGGGCTCAGCCTTAGCAGAGCGCAGGTAACCGTAGTGTCATCTCATTTACGCGGCCAGCGCCAGAAAAAAAAAAGAAATGAATGCCATATTCGTGAGCAGGATGTTGAATACCCCATATACAGAATCTGTTAGCAGTCATTGCTGATCTTGCCGGATCTTGCCACTTTTAAAATGAACTCGGAGCCGAAACTACTGGAGTCCAAACGGCATTAGCCTGGAAAATCTAGAGTGGATGAACAAGCCATACGGGTTAGTTCTCCATTAAGAACGAAGACACGCACAACCACGCAGCAGGTAGCCTGCCTCGTAGTACCAGAACTACATTGCCCCGGCTTTTCAGATACTCGTCCCGAAATTGACAGTGTCACAATAGTACCTGGTCAGGACGAGAAGAACTATCTGTGTTCCAACGAAAGCTGCGCTACCCTTCTGTTTGGTACCTTTTTCCTTCAGTAGTTCTTATTTGTAGGATTTTTGGCACGGTTCGACTTAGAGCTGAGGTTTCACTTTGGTCAGACCTGTAAACGCCTGTGAAGTTGCGTCATTTTCTTTAGAGGAATATACTGGCATTCACAGGGTGACCAAGCGCTACAAGCTTAGCTGCATCGCATTCTGCCCCCCACTAAGCCGACGCAGGATTTCTTAATTAACTCAGTGCTTTTTCTAGAGACACTTATTTCAGTGCGCTTGTCCTTCTCCTCTTCTAATTGGTTAGAAACCGAATGAAACCCATTTTTCTAGATTACCAGGGTAAAAATTGCATATTAAAAAGAGGCCCACAAAAACTTTTGCTCAAAAAAATAATTGCTAGCAGTCATAGTGAGTCATTACGAAAGGAATCATATGAGCGAACAAGCGAGAAAACAATTAAAATGTCCGGTAATAAAAGTTGCGACTGAAATATATGGATGACAGAGTGGAAGCAAAGTCCAGCGTAGTAAGCGTCGTTTTAAAAAGTCGGAGCACCAGAAAATCAGATAAGAAGGAAAAAGGACCTGATAGGCGCTGATCGATGATTTCGAGTAACTGCGGGACCATTATCTTATCAGCAGTGGCCACGTTGTCGATGACGAACCAACCCCTTGGTATTTAAGTCATTTTCCCAGCTTCTCCCATTTCACATTAAGCCGAAGCCAAACCGAAATCGCTTTTTCAATCTTTTTTCCTAGCAGGTTCTCCTATTCGGCAATTGGGTAGAAGCTAGAGGAAACCCTTTCCTCGGCACTGACAAATCATTACTATTCTACTGTTGAAGATAGACGGACAAGACAATCATATTATAATTCCCTGCGCCATCCCGAGCGGCGCGCTGAGCGGCAAACTCTCGGCAAGCATCAGTTTCTCGATCGGGAGCATCGAAACTCATTGAATTCAAGCGGAGGCAAGACCTAATGCCAAATGAAACCAGACTTTT